GTAGTGCAGTCAGCGCTGACTGATAGGGACCCAGAAGGGGCCCTGGCGGCACAGTAGTTAAGCATTGGGCTGCTAGCAGCTGTTTGAAACCACCAGTGGCTCCTTGGGAGGAAGCTGAGGCTTTCTCCCCCTGTCAAGAGTCACAGTCTCAGAAACCCACAGGGGCGGTTCTGCCCTGTCCTACAGGGTCACTCTGAGTGGACATCAGCACACTGGCAGCGAGTGTATGCAACAGAGTGAAACACTTCTCGGTCCTGCACCATCCTCGCAATCTGAGCCGATGGTTGACGCCACCATGCCAAGCCATCTCGTTGAGGGCCTTCCTCTTTCCCCTAACCCTTCACTTTACCAAGCATGATGACCTTCCCAGGGGTCAAGTCCTCCTGATAGCATGTCTAAAGTATGTGAAAGGAAGTCTCACCAACCTCCCTTCCAAGGAGTCTTGTGGCTGAGTGCTTGCTCCTCTGGCAGTCTCTTGTATATTTACATCCTTGGCCACCACCATCACTGAAAGGCATCAACTCAGTATTCGGCCTTCGGGTGATTCTAAGAGGATTAACCGCGCCGGGGGCTGGGATCAGGCACCCTTGGTCTTCAAGGTGACATCTTTTGGTTTTCGCATTTCGTCTTCATGAAAGGGTCCTTTGGCAGCAATTATCCGATGCTGTGCATCATTTGATATCTTGATTACTGCTGGTGTGGGCGTGAATCCGGATAAAATGAAATCTTCAACAACTTCAGTATGTTCTTAGTTTTATCATGATCGGGTCCGTTGTGAGGATTTTTGTTTCATTTACGTCGAGGTGCCGCCCCACGGACGGCTGCCTCTTTGCTCTTCCTCGGTTCACGTCCTCTTTTAGCCAGCAAAAGGGTGTCGTCTGCGTACTGGGGGTGGCTAACGAGTCTTCCTCCGATCCTAACGCGACAGTCTTCCTATCACCCAGCTTCTTGGATGACCTACTCCTCATACAGATTGCTTAAGAAGAGTGAAAGGATGCAACCGTGAGGCACGCATTTCTGGTTTTAAGAAGAGCTTTTAAGGCATGCAGTACCCACTTGGTACGTTCCCCAAACACCAGACCGACTGTCCACGAGTCCATTCCAAGGTGCGCTAGCCGATAGAGGGTTTGTGAGGCTACGAATCCTTGTGAGGGCAGAGAACCTCATCTTTCTCCCCGGGCAGTTGATGGCTTTGAAGTGGGGACCTCGTGGGCAGCAGTCCAACGACATCTTTTCATTTGCTTACTTCCCTTGCAACCGGCAAACATTATGCCCTCATCAGAAGTACTCTCCGCAGTAATCCGGAAATCCTTCCTGATAATTTCCTTAAGACGAGTCTGTCCACACCCCTCCATTAGTCGCACCTTTAAATGACCCTTGGAGCCCACATCCAAGTTTCTAACCAGTGACTCCAAAGCTCCTCTCTCACATTTCCTCCCCTGCACTTCCCTGCTCTTGCAAGCTTCAATCAGAAGGTTAGGTCTTCTGTTCTTGACTTGACCTCAGAAACATGCCTCTGTGACGCGCACCACCACGGAGTGTTTGATTTCACTTTGTGGGGTCCGCTGTGTCCCCACGGGAGCGGTTTGGAACCATCAGTAAATCTCTGCTTTGAGTATGAGTTCTTACATGGCCATACCTCAATACAACTGTAACTCCAAAAACCAAACTCGCTGACAACGAGTGGATTCTGACTCATAGCGACCGTTCTGAGATGTTCACACTTTACAGGAGTAGATGGCCTGTCTTCCTCCCACAGGGCAGGTGGCAGTGTCGAACCGCTGCCCTTAGGGGTTGGGGATGGCTAGCCTTGTGGCGAGCAGCCCATCGTTCCACCCGGGCTCAGAGCAGCTGCTATTTCATGTCAGGAGTGAATCAGGAAGGCGGGAGGGGGAGGGAGCACTAGAACTGATGGAGATTGCACAACTCATTTTAAAAGCGGTTCAACCGTAGTAGGGAGGGGGAATGCTCTAAGATAGATGTGGTGGGATTGCACAATTCCCCTTGATATGATTGAACGAGTGAACTATTCAATTATATGTAAATTATGTGCCAATAAAACTGTTGGGGGGAAAAGTGCCAGCTTTTGTATTGCTTGTCTTAGCAAGTTTATGGCCTTCATATTGCCCACATGGACACATAAGAGATTATCGAGAACTGGACTGTGCTCTCAGATAAGGTAGCACCAGCCACAGCTGGCCTCTGACCACTGGAAATAAGACTCGGTCAAATGGAGGCATACTGTAAGTGCAAAAAGCTTTGGTGGTGCTGTCAGTTAGGTGTTGGGCAGCTGGAGTCGGGAGGGGGGGCGGGGAGGGGGACAGGCCAAACCACCAGCCTCCAAAAGAGACAGGTGAGACTGTCTTGCTCCCATAAAGATTTACAGTCTGAATCGGATCCTACTCGATGGCAGTGAGTAAATGAAACACAACCAGATTTCAGAGACTACGTACAATTAAAAAACGGTAAACTTGTCACATTAAATTTTTTGACAAAATAATAATAATTTATAAATTACCAAGGGTTCATGAGGGAGCGGGGAGCGCGGAGGAGGAAAAATGAGCTGATACCAAGGGCTCAAGCCGAAAGCAAATGTTTTGAGAATGATGAGGGCAACAAATGTACAAATGTGCTTGGCACAATGGATGGATGGATGGATTGTGACAAGAGTTGTACGAGCGGGAGAGATATGGATTAGTGCCTACACTGTGTCTGAGACATAAGAATATTACCCTTCCTCTTTATGCCCCACCCCACCAAAACGCTGCGGCCATGGAGTCGATTCTTGGAGCAGAAAGCCTCATCTTTCTCTCTTGAAATAGCTGGTTAGGTTTGAACTACCAACCTTGCAGTTAGCAGTCCAATGCTTACCTGACAGAGCCACTAGGGCTCCTTCCCTCTTACTACATTCAGCGTCAATTTTTCTTAGTCTCCAAGAGTGTAGTCTGTCATGTTGGTTCTGATTTTGATCCATAATTTAATTTTTCAACCTGTCCCCTGCCTCTGTGACAACCTAGGGTTTCTACTCTGATGAACCATTTGGATGCTGAGATAACTCACTCATCCAGTTATAGTCAATAAAATGCTTATTGAGCATGAAAAGAAAAAAAAAGAGTTGTACGAGCCCCCAATAAAATTATTTTTAAAAATTTTTTTCTACTCATTATCTGTTGAAATATTATTTTGGCTTTATTGGGTTAATTAAAGCGGTATTAAATTTTCACCTCTTTAAAATATTTTAGGGCACAGAGGGGACCCCAAATTTCAGGTGTAATTTATTAAGTCTAAAACAGGGCAAAGGCAAGGACTAAGACACATGATCCAGATGATGATCCAGATGAGTGAGATCGAGTGCATGAGGTCTTACTGGTGCCCAAGGACTTGCTGAGATTTGGAGCCTTAAAAGGAGGCTGGAAGGGCAAGGGAAACTCACAAAAGCATGATTGGTGGCAGGTGAATATGTCAGTTCCATGTGGGACTACAGAAGTGGGAGGGGGACAAAGATTGGGAAACATCAACATACCTTAGAAGAGGCTATAAAATCAGTTCAGGTCCTTCCAGCCATGGCAGTCGGGGCGTGACTCATTGCAGGGGGCCCTTGTATGGCAGTCCCCAACAAGGACACATCCTGGCAAGTCCCTAGAGGAGACTGCTTCTCCCCGGGCTGCTCAGGGCTATGGAGGTAATGTACTTCCCAGTGCCCTCTACCTGAGAGCGATACTGTTTACAACCCTGATGCACAGTCAGAAGGAATTAAGAGAAACAACTCACTGTCCGCCAGTCCATGACCAACCATCGCAACCCAATAGGACGTGGTCGAACTGCCCCCGTGAGTTTCCAAAACTGTAACTGTTTATGGGAGTCGAAAGCCACACACACACACACACACACACACACACACACACCTTTCTTCCTCGGATCCTGGTGATCTTGAACTGCAGACTTTGTGATTAGCAGCCCCGTGGGTAACCCTTGTGCCACCTAAGGAAGCTTAAGCCATGGAGCGGCTAACCGTAAAGTCAGCAGTTTGGAACCACCACCTGCTCCTTGAGAGGAAAATGAGGCTTTCCACTCCCATCGAGTTACAGCCTCAGAAACACACCCTGTCCTACAGGGTCACTGAGTGGGCGTCTAGCAGTGAGTTTGGGTTTGGGAATCCATATGGAGTCTCTGCAGATGGATTTCAGGTTTCCACTGTTTATCAAAGCCTTTTGCAAACTGGGTAACTCAGAATTGAAGCTCAAATTCAAAACAAAACAATCGCTAGAAGACTCATTTATGTGGTTCACGTGCTTCTATCGGGTAGCAATGGACTAAAAGATGGCAACATTAAAATAAACCTACATTTGAAGTATGCCTTGTTTTTCAGTTTTGTTTTACATCTTTTTTTCAAAACCATTTTAGTGTCAGGTCATACAGATAGCGTTGCATAGTATTGCACAACTGCACATCAGGCAGTATTGTACAGCTGCGACCACAATCAGATGTTTTGCATCTCTTAATAGTTCCTCACAAGTCTTATGTGAACACTAGACACAGTTCCTACTCTCGAAGCTTCCAATCCCGGTCCCTCCAATACAGAAACCTCCACTCTATCCGTGTAAAGCCATTTTGAAAGGGAGCAGGAAGAATCCCCAGGCCCAAACAAGCAAGGCATTTTGCTCCAAGGAAGTCCTTGCACGGAGGCGGCAGGGCAGGGGTTCCAGAAGGTGCGAGGCCCTCCCGCCCGGCCGGCGGCGCTGGGAAGCGAGCCCCGGGGACCCTCGCCCCGGGACATCACACCGCCCTCGCCCGCGAGCCGGTGCGCTACCTTCCCGAGATGGTCGCCTCCAGGAGGCGGGGCCGCGCGGACGCGCCTCCCTTCTCGCCCCACAATTCCGGGTGTCGATTGGGTGAGGCTCGTTGGTGGTGGGCGGTGATTGGGCTAGAAGGTGGCGTGGGCGGGACCGGAAGTCGCCGGCTCGCAGGGCCGCGCGGCGGGGCCTGGGAGCCGGCCCCGGGGGATGTGGCGCGCAGGCGGCATGTCGGCCGAGCTGGGCGTGGAGTTCGCGCTGCGGACAGTGAATGATCGCGTGCAGCAAGCGGTGGCGCGTCGGCCGCGGGTGAGGACGGGGTCCGCGTCGGGACGGTGGGCGGCCGCCGTGAGGAGGGGGACCCCTGCGTGGGAATGGGCCATCACAGTGACGCAGGTGGGTCCCCCCGAGGGGCGGGACCCGGCCGAGGCCACGGCGTCGGTGGGGGGCTGCACCGCTCCCCAAGCCAGCCTAGGGGTTTCCTCGGTGCCCTCGCAGGGACTCTGCCGCGCGTTCTGGCTGGTGGCTCCCGACGAGCCGAAGGGACCCGCCACCTGGGGGAACTGACTGACTGCAGGCGGCACGGCCATTTGCCCAGGGTCGTAGTGGACCGTCTTGGCGGCCGCGTGCAGTGGCCGGCCCGGGACACCGGGTCGCCCCAGGTCACGTGTGCGTGTGACCGCGCGCGCAGGACCAGTAAGCGTGCCAAGGAGCGAGCGAGCGGATTGGCGGAACTGGGGAGGCGTTAGAGGTGCACTCCGGAGCAGTAAGCCGGGGGTGACATCCCAACCCCACCGTTTAAGGAAGGATACCCCCCTCCCGCCCCCCATGTATTTTTTTCCTCCTCTTGGAAACACCCCCCCTCGGTGCAAGTGTAAGCCGAATGGTCTGACATCTGAACAGAGCAGGAGAAGGTGCTGATCAAGCATCAGTGGTGCCCTGCTGCCCTGGAGGCAGAAGGCCTGTATCTTCCTCCTTTGGCCCCTCATTAACTGTCACCTTGAACAAATCACTGAACTCTGGCTCACAGTGCCCTCCCTTCTGGTATTAATGTTGTTAACTCTCACCGGTCAGTTGCCTGACGCCTTCGGGACTGGAGCGCACTGGTTCCTTGCAGTGTGGAAGCAGGGTGCCCGTGTAGAGGAAGACTATGCCGCGCTTCTCATGTTGCCTCTGTGATTTGGTTGCCACAGAACGCCAGGGAACCCTACTCCTTATGCTGTGACCCAAGGAGGCCCTGCCTGCAAGTCAGCATTTTTTCAGTCTGGTTCAGAGTTCTACCACTGGTTCTTGATTCACAGATTAGACAACACATTATATAGTTGCCTAAGTAGGCAACTTTTGCGTGAATGGGGACAGTGTTTAATAATTACACCAGGACCTTAAGGGATAAGCAGCAAACCAAGATGTGTGGCCCCGCAGTCCACAGATGGGTACGTCCTCCCTTCAGGACTGAGCGTTGCTGAGACTTGTAGGAGGGGCTATGAGCTTATGGTGAAGAAGAAAGCAAGTCTAGTGTTAAGTGCCATCGTCAGTTCCAGCCCATAGTAGCTCTATGCACAGTCCTGCACTATCCTTGTGCTTGAGCTTATTGCAGCCGCGGGTCAATCCACTTTCTTAAGGACCTTCTATATGCGTGATGCAGTTGTATGTATTCTGTATCCTGTTAGTAAGCTGCTTGCTACTTTTTCCATGATGGTCAATCGACAGCCCTTTGAAGTGCCTGATGTGGAATTCTTCCCTGTTCTTGGCTCCATTGCCTCCGGCTTTTCTCCATTCCCATGGTACAATAAGGAAGAGAACACTTTGCACACAACTTCTAAGCTGTCTGAAGCTGAGGTACCCAAAGAGACAAAATCAGTGCACTCCCTCTTAATACCCTCAGCCTCAGTGGATGATGCTTCCTGGTGGACATTACAAGATGCCCTAGAGGTCAAGGCCTTCCCACCCCTGAGGCAGATTCACAGCAGTGTGGGTCTTATGTTGATAGACCTTGGGTTTTAAGAGCACACCCTTTCTTGTCTGCTACTGGGGTAGTAGAAGGGATTTTTTTTCTCTCCCTCTGGATTTAATGGTTCACTGAGCCCTAGCCAGCCCAGAGCTAAGAAGAAAGCAAGTCTAGTGTTAGGTGCCATCGTCAGTTCCAGCCCATAGTAGTCCTATGCACAGTCCTGCACTATCCTTGTGCTTGAGCTCATTGTTGCAGCCGCGGGTCAATCCACTCTCTTAAGGACCTTCGTCTTCTTCGCTACCCCTCCACTTACCAAGCACGATGCCCTCTTCTAGAGACCGGTCTCTCCTGACAGCATGTCCGGAGCATGGAAGATGAAGTCTCCCCATCCTTGCCTCTAAGGAGCACGCACTCTGGCCTTCCTTCTTCTAAGACAGAGTTGTCCTTTTAGCAATCCATGGAACGTTCCAGATCCTTCCCCAGCACCACCTTTCCAATGCATCCACACCTCTTCAGTCTTCCTTCTTCACTGGCCAGCCTTCGCGTACCTATGAGGCAATTAAAAGCACTATGGCTTGGGTCAGGCTGTCACATACTTGCTTTTCAATACTCCGAAGAGGTCTTGTGCAGCAGATTTACCTAATAAAACTCGTCTTTTGACCTTTTGACTGCCGCTTCCATTAGCATTGATTGTGGATCCAAGCAAGACAAATGTCTTGACAACTTCAACCTTTTCTCTGTTTATCATGTGTTTCCTGTTGGTCGAGTTGTGAGGATTTGGGTTTTCAATACATTGAGTTGTAATCCATACTGAAGGCTGAAATTCTTGATCTTCATCAGCAAGTACCTCAAAGTCCTCACTTTCAGTATGCCAGGTTGTGTCATCTGCATATCTCAGGTTAATAAGCCTTCCTCCGACCTTGATGTTGTATTAGTCTTCTATAATCCAGCTTCTGTGATGAGTTGTTCAACATGCAGATTGAATAGGTACGGTGAGAGCCTACAACCCTATCTCACACCTTTCCTGATCTTAAACCATAAAGCATTCTCTTGTTCTGTATGCACAGCTGCTTCTTGATCCATGTTACAAGTTCCACATGAGCACAATGAAGTGGTATGGAATTCCCATTCTTCTCAAGGCTAGCCATAGTTTGTTATGATCCACACAGTCAAATGCCTTGGCATAGTCAATAAAACACTAGGAAACATCTTTCTGGGATTCTCTGCTTTGAGCCAAGAGAATCAGCAATGCTATTGTTCTGTGTCCTCTTCTGAATCCCACCTGAACCTCTGGCAGCTCCCTGTCAATGTACTGCTGTAACCATTGCTAGATGATCTTCAGCAAAATTTTACTTACATGTGATATCCATGACGTTGTTCTATGGGTTTGAGCATTCTGTTGGGTCACCTTTCTTTGGAATGTGTAGTAGCAGTCTTCCACATTGTCTGGCATAGACAACTAGTGAGTGCTTCACAACTTGTTGAAACATTTCAGTTGGTGTTCCATCAATTCCTGGAGCCTTGTTCTGGGCTAATGCTTTCAGTGCGGCTTGAACTTCTTCCTTCAGCACCATTGGCTTTTGGTCAGTTCTTTTTGGAACAGTGACTGTATTCTTTCCATCTTCATTTGATGCTTCCGGCGTTCAATATTTTATCTATAGAATCTTTCAGTTTTGCAACTTGCAATGTGAAGTTTTTCTTCAGTCCTTTCAGTTTAAGAGAGCAATAAATGACACAATGGATGGGTGTATGGATTGTGATAAGAGTTGTACGAGCCCCCAATAAAATATTTTTTTTTAAGTAGGAGAGCAATAAAGTGGTAAGGCTGTACCCTGTCATAGGTATAAAATCAACAAGACCCAAAAAAAACAAGGCAGTCCCGTGAATTCTGACTCTCATAGGGTTCAGTTTAATAAACTGAGAAAGATGTATTCCTCTTAGCACTTAGACATAAGTTACAAAAGGTTCTTTTCTCTCCCCCACACACACATTTAAATTTTAGTGAGATAAACGCACAAGGAGCCATACTGAGAAATGGTCCGTCACAGAATGGGTTTCCGAAACTAGAAGTAGTCGCACTTGTAGTCAGAGCGCCTTCTCTTACTGAAGTGATTCTTAACCTTCAACCCGAGTAGGCAGCCAAGAGGATCAACTAGAGGAGCGGTTCTCAACCTGTGGGTCTCAACCCCTTTGGGGGTCTAACAGCCCTTTTAAGAGGTCGCCTAAGACCATCAGAAAACACCTATTTCCAGTGGTCTTAGGACCCTCCGCTCCTCTGTCTTCAGGCAGGTCCGCCCACATGCAGACACGCCCACCTAC